TGGACTAGGTGACCTACAAGGTTTCTTCCAACTCTATCTGTTATTATATGTTATCTTGAAGGCCTTTACTGGCTATTTTGATGCATGCGATGGGAGCATTGTCCTGCATACAAATCAAGGTCTTCTTGAAAGATGCAGACTTTTTCCTTGTACCACTGCTTGAAGAAAGTATCTTCTAAAAACTGGCGGTAGTTGGGAAGTTGATTTTGAGTCCACCTTCAACCCTAAAAGGTCCAACTAGCTCATTTTTAATAATACCAGTCCACCCTAGTACCCCACCTCCACTTTGCTGCCGTCTGAATCAAAGTGGAGCTCTGTGCCCATTACTGATCCAGCCATAGGCCCATTGAGTCACTCTCATCTCATCAGTCCATAAAACCTTTGAAAAATCTGCCTTCAGATATTTCTTGGCTCAGTCTTACTGTTTCAATGTATGTGTCTTGTTCAGTGGTGGTTAGGTTTCAGCCTTGCGTACTTTGGCCATGTCTCTGAGCATTGAACTCCTTGTACTTCTGGCACTCCTGGTTGCAGTTCTAGAATATGACAGCACTGGAGGATAATTGGTTCCTGGTAGCTTCATGTTTAATTCTTCTCAAATCTTTGGCAGTTAATGTATGTCTTTTTTTCCAACACGTTTCTTGCGACCCTGTTGACTATTTCCAACAAAACGTTTGATGGTTCTGTGATCACACCCCAATATCTTAGCAATTTCAAGAGTGCTGCATCCTTCTGAAAGATGTTTTACAATTGTTGATTTTTCAGTGAAATCTCTTTTTTGGCTTATTTTGCCTGAGGAAAAGAAGCTACCTAATAGTTATGATATAGGGTGTTGATCTCCTTAGGCCACACCCTCTTTCATTACACAAATACATATCACCTGATATGCTTATATCCAATAAGCATTCGAGTGTATACAGCTTAGAGATGGAAAATTGCATGAAAATGATATCAAAATTCTCACTTGCCTAATAATTGTGCACACAATGTAGTGTTTTTTCCTAGTTTTTACCATAACAGTAACCTTGGGAGCAGAGAAACACTGAGCGATCTAGAAATACCCAGTGGTCTCCTTTGGCTGAAAATGGTCCAAGTGCTCCTACCTTAACCACTACATTACATGGGCTTTCTGAAGATGGACATAAAAGTCTTGTGATCAGTTAGACATGCATAAAAATGCCACAGAGAATGGCTTAACATTCAAGTGCCATTTTTAACACTTTGGGATTTTGGAAACTTTATTTAGTTTAATTATGGTTCTAGCAGCTTTAATTTTGACAATTCTAAACAAAATATCTTAACTCTGAAAATGCAAAGAAAAAGTAAATATATATTTAAAATATAAAATTAAGTCAGAGAAAAGTGCAAATACTATTTTCTTTAAATTGCTAAGTGAAGTGCTATCAAATGAAGACAGTGTCTTGTGGAAATACACCATTATGGGATTTAACTTTCATTTCCGAAATTACATCGACTTGGAAATGCTTTTCTTCCAATACAGAGGAAAATGCTTTTCTAGATGCTTAAAATAAGAAAGAAAAATTGTTACGCATAAGATGTGGGGAGAAACGTACTTGGATAAGAGACCATTAACAAATGCAGGCTGAAAGCCACAATTAGTAGTAAAAAATTCCAGAAACAGGAACAGCAAACAGCTTCTGAACTGCTGCCAAGAAAAGTACACTGACATGTCAGGAAGTCTCTAGAACTTGAAAGCAACATTGCTTGCTATTGATAAGGATGAAGAACCATTATTTGTCTTTAGCTTTGGTGAGTTTTTTTGCTCTCTTAATGATTATAGTGTTAAGGATTTGATGCATTCTAAATGCTTTCTTTTGAGAACACAACGAAACTTTATCGTTGTTTAAGAAAGAACAAGATTCAGAGTGAAATAGGAAAGTATGCTCACATCCTTACATTATTTCAATTGTAACAGAAATGCAGGTTTCTTTTAAATACCAAATCAAAGTTCAGTATTCTTAGTGAGATGAGAAATAAGCATTTGTAGTGAAAGCCAGTTAAGACAATTTTGTCCTCATATTTCTGAAAATATATTTTACAGTTAATTCAATAGAACATTGTTATATCTATTAGATACAAATACATTTAAATAACAAATTTGGGGAAGTTAATAGTTGAGAATGTGGGGTGTTCATATGAAAATCTCCAACATTCATTCTCTGAAATGTTCTCTTTTTTCTTCTATAACTTTCTGATCTGTCTGTTCTGAAGGTGGTTCATTTTTTAAGAAGTGGTTCTTCTAGAACAGGAGGTGATTCATTGTATTGCAAACATGGCCAGATGCCAAGAAAGGTCCAATTTAGTCTGGGCACATCTTAAATTTTGCAAAACATGTCCTGTTCCAAAACAGTTGTGAAAAAGGACAAGCCTTTCCCATAATGATGAGATTAATGTATTTGGGGAGATAATCAGAATATGTTTTTTCCAGAAATGTTCTGTAACGGACCTCAAACTTTTGAACATAAGACGCTTAAAATGGGTAATTGAGTCATATAGTTGTATGTGTAATGGCTCCTTTTTGGACATATTTTTTTCCTGAAAAACTCACTAGTATTTGAAGGTTATTGTTCTGTAAACAATATACCAGTAGTTTATAAATAAACAAGACAACAGATATAATTGATATGTACTTTTCTAATGACAAATATGATACAGAAAGGTTAAAAGAACACACTTTTTCCATCATAAAATAATAGAGTTGGAAGATGTCTCCCCCTTGCAGAAAGAGAAAGGACATCTAATCCACTCCTGCTCAAAACAGGGTATGCTAGAACATCTCAGAAGGTGATCATGTAGCTACTGTTTGAAGATCTCCAGCAGTAGAGAACTCATTCCTTCATGTCTGAATGCATATTCTGTTGGCTGAAGCTCATACAGTCATGAAGTTTCTTATGACACTATCCTGAACCTATTTACTTGGAGTTTTCACTAACTAATTCTGTCAATTATAGAACTATAAAGACTACATCACTTTGTGTATTTGAACAAGCATTTAATTCTAGAAGTTCTATTTGAAGATTATTCAGAAATTTAAGTTTTAACCCTACTTCCAAGTGCATACTCATTTTTAAATTAAATATAGTTATTGTATAACATGACATGTGTCTAGAATAGTTCAAGCCTTGGTTTCATTCTTACTTATTGAGCATTTGTCCTGGTTTTGTAGTTTTAACACAAAAGGAATTGGGGAAGATGTTCACTAACAAACAAGGTAGTAGCATGCATCATTCTATGTCAGGAGTTGGCAACCTTTCCTTAACACAGATATAACTTGCTCAGCTGAACAGTTGGGAAGCAACAGATAATCCGAAGGGACCTTATAGGTCATCTGGTCCAACTCCCCACCCAAGCAGAGACCAGACCGTACACCATTTCTGACAAATAGCAGTTCAATCTCTTCTCTTTTGATTCCAAAAAGTTTTTTTGTTTTTTTATTTTTACACATTTCTTCATGTGAGCAATGTTATTCTGGATTATAACACTTGTACATAGTCATGCTTTCATTTCCATCAATCTTATTGAATATCATCTCATATCATCCATTTCACTCATCTTTAAGTAAGTTTCCATTTCCTATTTCAATTCATTAATTCAATACCAATATCATTTCATCCACACATAAATTTTCAGTTCTTTATCCCCTATTATTTCCATTTTCAGCTTACCACCTATTTTATTTTACATTACACCTCATTATTATCCTTAATTTTCTCTAGGCCGATATATAATAAACAATCTAAAAAGAGTAAAAATAAAATAAAGCCAATATATTTAGGATCCCCATGGTATATCCCCTCAATCTTTCTAATTCAGTAATTTTTCATTCCCCTACTTTAATCATAATAAAATACTCTCATTATACACTTCTAGTATCTATTAAATAATCAACTGTATATTTTAAAATATATATATTTTAAAGTATCCCCCCCAAAAAATTGCTAAAATAACTTCTTAATATGTCTCATTTTATCTCTTTTGTTATAATCATTAATAATCATGTTTTTTCTTCCTTTCCACTTAGCCAAAGTTTATCTATATATTTTAATACATTTCCATCCCCCTGTTTTTAATCCTCCAAAGAAAAGGTTCATAACAGCATAATTCATATACAGTTATATTTTAGCCAACTTTCCCTTTTCTAATTTTTCCTGGTCTTTTTTCTTTTTTCCTTCTAGTATTATTTTTATTTCCTTCTGCCTGTCAGCCATGTTTTCCCCCACCCTTTTCAGTTCACTTTTTGGGGGTTTCTTCTTATATATTTCCTTCTTCTTCTTCTTCTTAGTCTTGGGAGCCTTATCTCTTTTATTTGTTGTCTCTGTTGTCAATATCTCTATTTTAAGTCCTTTTATGTCCTTTGCCAGTGGTCCTTGTTCTTCATATTCATCTAGGCTGTTGTTTTCCTCCTTTAACTCGTCCTCTCTGGGCTTTCTTTGTTCTTCTGTGAGCTGCAACGCCATTACTTTACTAACCATTATATCCAACAGTCTCGTTCTTTTTTTTAACATACGTCTCACAGTTTGGAGCTCCGACTTAAATTCTTTACTTATTTCTTCCATTTCTTTAATCTATTGAGTTATTCTTTGTTTTATTAAAGGTCAATTTTTTTTGTTATAAACCTTGCCAGAAGTCTCTGTTTATCTCACTTTCTCTTTCTTCTGTTTTCTTGTCATAGTCAACCTCCAACAGTCCCAAAATATTGCATTCCTTTATATTTTACTAAGAGCGGGAAATGGTTAACCATTAGGTGGTGCTCTATATCACTTTCTTTTCAAAGTTCTTTTATTTTTAATTCTCTTTTCCGTAATATTAATGTTAAATTTTATCCATTCCAAATAAGTCCAGCATTTTATCCAATGCCTAATTAATGTCCAACTCTGTATGTTATTCCAAATTTAATCTCTAATTTCATATAATTCTTTTATTTCCGTTTTTTTCTTTACCTTATATTTTCCTCTTTCCCATTCACTGCTATCACTCTTCCAAACGAGGGTTCTTTCTGTCTACTTTTCGGGGTTATAAAAAAATATTCAAAGTCTTTTATCCAGTTACATGCCACTCACCACTTCAATTCTCCAGCACAAACTTAAGTCCCAGCAGCTTCCCGTCTTCAGTGCAGCCATTAAACTGCCGCTTCTTCCTGTCTTCTAGGGGAGTAAATACCAAGCCAGGGAGGGGATATGTGGCTCTCCTCAACTCAGCTGCTGGTCTCCCCCTTTTTCCCCCACCCATACAAGGTGGGTCAGATGGTTCTGGTCCCTCAGGGACCCCTCCAACAGGGCAAGCACAGATCAAAGCTGTGCATGATCACGGTCTCTGGTCCATCTTCGATGGAAATGCTACCGGAAGTCAGTCCAATCTCTTCTCGAAGGTCTCAAGTGATGGCACTTCCACAACTTCCTGTGGGAATCTGTTCCATTGGTTGATTGTTCTCACTGACAGAAAGTTTCTCCTTATTTCCAGGTTGAATCTCTCCTTTGTTCAGTTTCCATCCATTATTATAGTGTAGGATGCATTCTGATAACAGGGTAGTTTTTTTTTTCTCCTCAGAATTTCTTTTTTGGTCCATTAAGGATAGAAATGGAAGCGGAACTTTTCTGGGAAGCAAATTGTTTGGTGGTTTCTAGGAACGTTTCATAATACAAAAAGAAAGTTTGACATGGTCCAGCAGGGAACAGAATTTCAGGAGTTCTCCAAACTATTTCATGTAAATTTTCCACATCCTTATAAAACCAGAAAATAAATCGAGTTTTTTCATATGAAAAATTTATGTATAAAATCTTGGAATACTGTATTGTATTAATTTGTTTACATTTATTGTTAGGCTTCACTCAGACCAGCGCTTGGAATAGAAGGCTTGCAGTGCAGCAGGACACTGCTCTAATCACATTCCATTATTGCAGACTGGTAAACATCTTTAATACTAAGAAAACTGGTGACTGCCTTTTCTAGGATTTTAGCCCTATATATCAGGTTCAAAACTTGTATTTCTTCCCCCTTATGTCTTAATGGATTGAGAGTTGCTTGTTTGACAAGAAAGTCCAGTTGCCTTTGGAAAAAGCATCTTTGGCACAACCATGACCTGGATGACTGAGAATCTCCATTGACATATTCTTTGCTTGCTGTGCTCAATCATTGTACTTTATTCAGCATGTCAGTAATTTTCCCTTTAAGATTACTTTCATGGTGACAAGAACACCATTAAATTTTCTGGGTTTCAATTTTAGTCATAAACTAACCACAACTCAGGTTCATTGGGGAATATGTAGATAATTATCAATGCCTTCTTTAAATTTTAGTAAAATAATCTTCGTAGTAGTCATTTTTTATAAAACCTTTGAGTAAAAGCATTTGCATTTACAAGAATATGGAATACTGAAGTGGAGTTATATGGAATGGAACAAAAAAACCCAAATTGATCTTAAATATACTCCACATACTGTCAGTTTGTGTGTCAGTTTTAAAAAGTATTTAAAACCCATTGCTAACAATTACATTCTGCTTCTTCAGAGTCCAACTTTTATTTTCATACAGTATCACACAGAATACTATGTGCACAATTTTGACCTTCGTACTATGTTACACATCATAACATTCGAATATCTTTTCCAAGATTTTCCTTTATGGCTGCTCTACTAAATGCTATTCTGTGGCATATTTCTCGACTACTTGTTCTTTTACAATTGATGACTGATCTTAAAAGGGAGAAGCTATCCATCACTTTGATATCTTCATTACCAATTCTGTAGCTGGTTGTTCTACCTATTGTCATTAGTTTGGTCTTCCCTATATTTAATTTTAATCTCATTTTTTCACTGTGTTCTTTGCTGTAGGACTAATGTTTTACATTTTCAGCTATTAGGATGGTATATTCAGCGTACTGCTGGTTATTGAAGTTTCTTTCTCCAGTTTTGTGGGAATTGTTAAATGAACTCCTGAATCATTAAGGAAATGTCACAGTTGTTCAGCAAACCCATGGTTTGCTATGAGCTGGTTTTTGGCCAAACCATTATAAAATGCAATCCTTTGCCCCAGGTCCACTTTAAATGGTCATATATGTTGCGAAGCACCTGAAGTACAGTGATGGGACCATGGCAGGGGCCTGATCACCAGAACTTTGAATCTGGGTTATAAGTATCCCCCAGGTGGTACTTATGTTTGTCCGTTGGAACTTCAATCGATAAGCAAACAATCATAAGTCTAGGACTACCTGTAATAAAATTAAATAGCACAGTGGTGCAAAAAATTCTGAAACCTTTTTAAAATTAGGGTATTGTTATAAGTGATACAATATGCTTTCCATTTTAAATATTTTCAAGGTGAGTTGATATTTTTATAATTCCTTTGACTTGGGTTTCTCTCCACCTCTACTAGGAAATTTGTATGTATACTAAAACATAATTTATAAACAACACGCACATTGTTTGCTGTTCCTATAGAATGCATTTTGTTTAGATGATTTTTTTTTTCATTTAGATGAGATATATCCCTGATTGGTACTCTATATTAATGTACTAGGATAATTGTAAATATGACTATATTTGGAAGATATTTTTTTTTAAAAAATCCTATCACCGTTTCTCAGCTTCAGTGGAATTGTCTTGGGTTGTTTTTGAAGATTATAATAAAAAATTGCATTTTTATTTAAAACCATAGATTTTACATACAAGGAAATGATAAAGGGAGATGTAATTAGACATTGAACCATATTTTAATGCAAAGGGGGGAAACTGCTTCTCAAGTAGTGAAGTAGATATAACACAAGGTACTTTAATGCCATGTTACTGTTATATGCAGTCAGTGTTAAATAAAATAATTATTATACAAAATGATTGTTAAGTTATTGTAGTTAACATAGTCAGCTACAAGCTATTTCTCCATCACCTTGTCCCAAACTGAAATTTAAGTTATCAACCCTAAATATCACAGTATCAAAATCAACTTCCAGAAATATTAGGCCTGAATAACCAATGGTTTAATGTGGGAACCTGACTGTATTGAAGGTTAGAGCAACAGGAAGCTTCTAAGTCTGAAGGGAAAAATGTAAAAGTTAGCACGTACAGAGTAGGTTGTAAAAAGAGAGAATGACTATTGAAAGTTATGGATGGGTGATTGTGGACAGTGGTGAAGATTAGAGGAAAAGCCCAAGAACTAACTGGTGGTGACTAGAAGGATAAGTGGCAAGGCAGGCATAGTTGCTTAGACTAGAAGTTGCAACTTAATGTTGTCCAATTTTCTTACATAATCTGGGAGACACGTGAAATCCTAAACCACAGATATACTAAAAGAAGAGAATTTCTCATTAGATTCCCTGTTCTAATCCTAGCCTGATAAATTCCCTGTTCTAATCCTAACCTTAAAATATGTATTCTGTGAATCTTCTTTTATTGAATGTTATTAGCAATCTAGGGAGAATTTGATACAGAACTTAATGAGTGCTAGCAATCCAGTTAATATTATTTAGAGATCCAGACCCAACAAAATCATTTGTCTCTTTCCCTATAATCTCTGAAGATTTTTTTCTAAAGAAAACATATATTTTCTATATATGCACAGAGGTAGCTAACAAAGTTGCAACTTTTTGTTAGAAATGATGGGACCTGCCAAAAACACTTCAGTCTGGCTTTAGAAATTCCAAATTCCTAGGTATCATTTAATGTGGAAAAAACAAACTTTCAGAAGATAAACAGGAAAAGTAGTGAAATGCTAATAGTAATGTTTCTCTATAACCAGCAGTGGAATATCTTATTCAGCAGTCATCAAAAATACTTACGTTGTTTTCTGGTTTTACTTGATTTCTGTGTGTCTTTTTTCAATAATTCCTTATAAAATAAAATAAAAATAAAAACATTTAATTGTTTTTTTTCTTATGGATCGGAATATTTGCAGTTTTTGAACTTAAAAAGAATGAAAATAGCTTAAATTTGCATTCTTATATGCATGAATAGTATAAACTACACAGTATCTTCCAAAGCAAAACACAAATGTTTGTATATCTAACGTGTTTTTAAAAAAACCTATTACATGAGGCCTGGAAACAGTTGCCTTGGATTCTATATAATTGGTGTGAAACTTTATTGACAAAGTTGAAAAATAATGGCATTTCTGATCCAGCCTAAGACTGTTAATTTTTATTAGTTGTAGAAGAGATAATAGGGAAGGGAAGTAAGAGAGGAATTGAGGAAAATGGCTTCATAACTGTCATACATTGAGAGAATACAAAGCCCTCTTACATTATGCTAATTGGAGGAGTTACTCTGGCATATTACATTTGGACTCAGTTAAGATGCAAAGAAGAAAGGGTCATAGGTGAACTTCTCTCCCATAGCTAATTGCATCCCGTTAGGGAGTTCTGCCTCATGGCTGAAAAAACTAGTTCTTGATATACTTAGTTTAATATAGTATATATAATCAAGCTGGTTTTCTGTGTCTTTAGAATATTAACTATAACATGGAAGACTCAAAATCCATACTGTTAATTATTTGTACAAATTGAGATTTTATAATGGGATGTGCATTCTAGTGGTTACTTTTGGAATAAATATATGTTCCTGCTTGAGCTATCAGTTAATGTTCCTTTTCTAATTTTATTTCTTCGACATAGTGTCTGTCTCTCCCATCTTTCAATCCTGAAAAACCTATATAAATGAATTAATTTAAATGTAGTAACATAAATTAATCAGAATAGGAAAAGAATTCTAATATACAATTGTCCAGGGTTTATATACTATCTTGTAAAATATTCACTATCTCTGTCCCTTTAGGGAATAATTGGTCCTGCTTACTGAAGATTCATTAAATTTCTAGCAACAGATCACAGGAATAAATATATTACAGGTCCTGCTGAAGGATCTCGGCTCTGTGCCTGTTTAGATTTTGGCAATAAATTTCTACCAACGTAGGGCATTCTTAGAGTTATAGTATATGAATCCCAAATTGAGAAAGTATGATGAAGTAAGCATAATTCCAATAAATGAAGCTTTTTTGTGGGCAATTATACAAAATAGGTTCTTAAATAATGGAATGCAATTCCCTAGATGAGGGTGTACTTTTAAATTAATTTGAAAATGTAACAATATTTAATAGTGAATTTTTAAAATATTTACATAACTATTTGTGAGAAAAAAGTCAAAACATTTTTGTGATTTGCTTTGATGAATGCATAAAGTATTAACTTACTTACTGTGTATTGTTTGCCAATTGCACAGTGGCAGATAGGACAGCTCTCCAGAGGGTTAATATCATTGCCCAGAGGATCATTGGTTGCCCTCTTCCCTCTTTGGAAGACCTTTATAGCTCCCACTGCCTTAAGAAAGTTCAAAACTTTCTTAAAGATCCATCTTATCCTGGGCACCCTTTTTTTGAACTATTACCATCTGGCAGATGGTACAGGATAATAAAAACAGCTTCTATCCCAGGTCAGTAATTATATTGAATTCTTCTGTATGTTGCAATATTAATGCAATATTGGGTTTTCAATTCAATTGTATAGAATACGAAGGATGTGTATTTGTGTTTTATTTTTATAATTGTAATGTACACTGAAGATGGCATTTAATTTCATTGTACGAGGTGCGATGACATATAAACTAGTGGGATTTAAATGGATGATAAATTGATTTATATAGATTACAACTTGTACCTGATGATCATATGATAAACTACTATACATTAGTTTACAGATTTTGGAAAATTATCAACCTCTGAGATAAAATGTGTTAATTTTACATATTTTGATCATTAGAAAACAGGTTATAAAGGTGTTGGTTGGCTAAAGTTTTAAATACATTTTACAATAAAATTTTATACACAGGTGAGTATATTCTCCAGTGTGCTGAGCAGAGGATCCAAAGAAAGGGTTAACTCTGTTTTTCTGCCAGAGACTGAGTCCTTTTAAAACTTTGTACCCACGCCTCTCTTGACTGTGCTAGTTTTGACTCAGTCTTAGCCCAAGAGAGACACGTTTAACAAGAGCTTCTCAGAACAAAAAGGCAGAGCTGAATTCTTTGGATTCTCACATAGGACGACCGGAAACTGCAGTTTTTTTCAGGTGAGTGACACAGCTACCAGCAAATCAATTGTTTTTCAGCTGCTACAGCAAATCAGTTGTTTTTCGGTGAACGGCACAGTTTACAGCACAGCTGCCAACAAATCAGCTGTTTTTCAGCCACTACAACAATCAGCTGTTTTTCGGCAAACAAGCTGCACAACTCAGCTGGCTACCCTGGTCTGACTGGCACAGTTGCTGAAACGGTTCAGCTGACTTCCCGTTTTATCGGCACAGCTGCTGCAATAACTAAGTTCCAACTGCCATAGCTGCTAGAGCAACGTGGCTGGTATCTTTGATCTGCCCAGCACAGCTGCCATTTTCCAGTTTATTCAAATAGAGCTGATGTTTGGTGCCCTTTCAGCTACAAATGCCCTGGCACCTTCCCAATAGGAGACCAGAACCTCCAATACAACAGGAGAAACAAAGGATGGAGGATACTGCTGCCTCAAGAGAGCCATGAGGTGACTCTTGTGAGTGGGAATGAGTGGGGGACCCGCAGAGCCCCAGGTTAACCTGAAAGGTCAAGTGGCTGCCCAAACAAGGACAAAAGTCCTACATTCCAGAAAAGCCTTTAAGGCTGAGGAAAGAGATGCCTGGAGGTAGCAAAGAGCTCTGGAGAGATCTCCAAGGCTGAGAGGCAAGCTGAGATCTCCAAGGCAACGAACGCAGACAGACTTGCCCAGGGAAGATCCCATCACTGCAGGCTGATCCAGTCAGGAAGCAGGAGACTGAATTCCCAAACCTGGTCACCAGATGGTGTCATAGAACAATCTCCACAGCTACCTTTTATAAAAAGCAGCAGTGAGGATCCCTTTGCTCCACAGTCAAATAGACTATCAGCAGAGAGTCATTGGGAGCCTATTTTTAAAAACAGGCAATCTGCCCCAGAGGTCATGTTTACTCCCACAGCAGCGGGGCTTCACCCAGGGGAGAGCCAGGGACTGGAGATTTCTGAGCAGATAAAGCTTCTGATCTCCATATTCCATGGGATTGCTGCACCATTGCAGCAAGGAAACCAAATGGCCGCTGTAGCATCCGACTCATCCCTAGAGCATAATCAACACCTGACACCTCAGGTTCAGGGAGACTTGGTGAACCTTAGGGAACCTCACTCTCCCACTTCATTGGCTTCTAGGAGACGAAGACCAGAGAGAACTAATATTCTTGGAAGATGAGGAGGTGACTCCTGACCCCCCGCATTTACAGGACGTTTTTGCCCGGCCCTCTTTAAATCACTTCTGTTTAAAGCCAAAGCCACAGCCCACATGGGAACTGGGCCAAGTACACCAGAGCCAGCATTGGGGTTACCAAACCCAAATGAACTCTTTTCAGAGCCAACAGCAGAGAGTGAGGAGATCCCCTCACCCCAATTGTTCCATGATGTGGTTTGAAGGTAATGGGTTCACCCAGGAATATACCCCAACAAACTGGGAGTGACTTTTTTTTTACAATGTAGCTCCGGACTTCACTGAGGAGCTACAACTACCTACAGTAGACAGTCCTGTGGCAGCTTTAACATCCTCTACTCTCTTGTCTCAGGATTCAGCAGACACTCTGAAAACAGGATAGGAGGGCAGAACTGACTCTTTGCTGGACTCATCAGACAGCGGCCTGAGCTGTCAAGGCAGCAACGACTGCTTCCTTTTTCAATAGAGTCTCCTTACTGTAGCTTCGCCAAATGCAGGAGAGCTTTGCCTGATGACCAACGCCTCCACCAGGACATCAACAAACTGATAGCAGCGATGGAATTCTCTGCTGATACCACCCAAGAAGGAACCAAATTTGCTTCCAGGGCCATTGTATCGTCAGTAATGGCGCACTGTCTGCTGTGCTTTGCCACTGGCAAGCAACATAAAATACAAATAGAAGCTAGCCTCTGCCCCCTTCAAGGGTGGCAAGCTGTTTGGAGAGGCCATGGAGCTCATAATGGTGGAAACCAGGGACAGGAGAAAGATCCTGCCTTCCCTATATAGGCGAGCTGACAGTCAATGTTGAGGTAATTCCCCGTTAGGAGAATGAGCGAATACAGGGACACGTATTTGAGAGTAGTGTTTGAATAATACACATACACAGCAAACAGATACACTGTACAGTAAATGTAGGTTTTTACATTAAGCAATCCAAAGTCATTCACAGGTAAATCAGTCAGTTTTTCAATCCAGGGATAATCCAAATATCAAAGTCCAGTGTCAGTTTTCAGTTCAGTAACAGACTTACATTAAATCCAGAAATATCAGTCAATTAGGAAAAATGGAGGAACGGCAATACTTTCCAACAGAAGGAAACAGAGAAACACTCTCTTCTGAGACTCAGACTAAGACAAACCAGGTTTCTGGCTCCATCTTATGGCTGTTTGAGAAACCGCACCTAATTATAGTTTTGCATTTTCTTAAAGATACAGTTTTAAAATGTCTATCCTGGTTTATATATTTCTAACCCAAATACCTGTTAGGTGACTTATATTCCCAACAGTCACCCCTCACCTTACTTTCACAGGCCTTCCCTTCGGCCAACAGACATCGGATTGGGCTACTCCCAGCGGATGTACCCCCATAGAGCTGACTGCCAACCAGATAGAACCAGATCTCTGGATAGGTACAGACAACAATTTCAGGGCAAGAGACCATTTCATGGTTCTGGAGATCATCCCTTCTGTCACTACAAGTGACCCCAGGTCCAACCCTCCCATTGGTGGCCACTTAGGGCTATTCGCAAATCAATGGGAGGCAACCATGACAGACATCCTAAACATGGTGAGACTAGGCCTTACTCTTGAATTTTTTTCCACACCCACGAGATTCTTCATACGTTGTCCCATATCAAAAGACAACACAAAGAGAGGCCTCATGGAGGCCGCAATCCAATACCTGTTGGACATTCAAGCTATCCGACTGGTTCCAGTGGACCAACAATGGTAGGGATTCTATTCCATCCTATTTGTAGTCCCAAAAGCCTCGGGGCAGGCAGTGGAGAGCAATTCTGGAGATGAAAAATTAAACTGATTTACAGGAGATTCAAGATGCAGTCCCTCCAATCCATCCTAGAGAGCATCTGGGAGGGTGACTTCTTAATAGCCATAGACCTGACAGAGGCATGCCTCTACATACCCATCCTATTGTCCCACCACTGGTTGCTCAGGTTCTTCTACACAGGACGTCATTATCAAAACAGGACCCTACTATTCAGCCTGTCTTCAGCACCCAGAATTTTCACCAAAATACTGGTGGTGCTGGCAGCCTACCTCAGGGCGATCCCACTCTCTGTCCAGAGTTACCTGGGTGACTTCTTAATCCAGTCCTCCCACCTTCAGGTGGCAGAGAATTTACAAGTCACAATCCGGGTCCTTCAGGATCACGGATTCTCCCATCAATTTTGAGAAGAGCCACCTGGCTCCTACCACCCATTTATCACACCTGGGGGCAATATAGATACCACATTAGGTGAGGTTTACCTATCACAGGAGCGTCAGGACAGCATAAAAGCATTGGTGAATTGGAATCAAATGATCCAGTCAGTTCCACTGGTCCTCCTCTCACAGCTCCTGGACAAGATGATATCTTGCATTGCAGTCGTCCCCTGAGCATGCCTGCATGCCAGAACCTTACCATGGTTTCTCCTACCCTACTAAAGTTCCAGCAAGAGCAACTCACCTATCAAAATTCGGGTTCCACACAAAGTAGGCCAGTCCTTCCAGTGGTGGATATCCCGGGGCCATGACAAAGGGATGTGTCTTTGAAGAGTCCAGCCACTTGACCATCATCATAGATACCAGCCTCTTTGGCTGGGGTGGTTACTTTCAATCACAGATGGCACAGGGATAGTGGTTGCAGGACAACCTGATGAACAACATCAACTGGCTGGAATTTAAGGCAGTCCATCTGGCCCTCAGATGGTTCCAGGGCAAGATCTTTGGTCATCACGTTCTTACTCTGATGAACAATGTAGCCACCAAGGCCCACATCAATCGTTAAGGAGGCACCCACTCCAGGTCTCTCATCCGAGAGTCAGAGCAACTGGGTCTCTGGCAGAGAAATATCTTCTCTTCATCAGGGAGAAACATATCGCTGACAACAAATGTACAGGCAGAGTGCCTAAGCAGGACCACAGTCAACCACTCAGAATGGCACCTGCATCCAGAACTGTTCAGGGAACTGTCAGAACAGTTCGGGACCCCGGTCCTGAACCTATTCACTACCCTGTTAAACAGCCAGTTGCTCAGGTTTTACTCCAGATATGCAGTACCAGGGGTGGAGAGGATCATTGCATGCCACACTCCGTGGCTCGAAGCCTCTTATCTGCCTTTTCCCCTCTTCCCTTGATCCCAGGGATAATCAGGAAAGTTTTGGCAAAGAAGGCAGAGGTATTACTCCTGGCTCTCCACTGGCCCAGATGGCCATGATTCGCAGATCTGATCAGTTTGTCCATATCCAGTCCCTAGAGGATTCCATAGAGCAAGATATCCCTCAGCCAGGGGGCTCTAGTCCATGCATAGTCCACCCAGAACCACAGTGGTTTCAACTGACTGTATGGCATTTGAGTGGAGAGTTCTTCTGGGTAAAATTTCTGCAAAGATGATACGGACAATCCATCAAGTAACAGAATCGTTGACTTGACTTGGAAGGCCTTCTGCAGCTGGTGCTCCAAGGGCAATATTGACCCCATTTCGGTATCTGTAGTCCAGATCCTGGAATTCCTTCAGGATGGGATGGACAAGGGCATATCCCCCTAACACCATACACAGACAGGTGGCAGGTCTGTTGTTGGTGTTGTCATGCAGGGATCTGAAATCCCTGGTGCTGCACCCTATTGTGCGCAACTTCATTAAAGGAGCAACCAACATAAAGCTTCTGGTGGTACACAGGTATCCCACCTGGGACTTATCCAAGGTCCTGCAGGCACTCTCCTTGGCGTCCTTCGAGCTGTTACGGGTGGCCAGCCTGTGCTTTCTCATCTACAAGGTAGCTTTCCTTGTGGTTATTATCTTGGCCAGACAAATTTAGGAGCCGTCTGGCCCAGAGTCCAGGAGTGGACAACAAGGAAGTATTGTGTGTATTCCATTCAAACAGAGTGGTTCTGCAACTGGATCCCTCCTTTCTCCCCAAGGTTAATTCCTTTTTCCACAGGGCACAGGAAATCATTTTGCCAGACTTCTGTCCAGGCCCGACCCATGCCCTGGAAAGAAGAGGCACACCTTGGATGTCAAGAGGGACAAAAGAACAGCTCCTTTCAGGAAAACAGTCTCTATTCATGTCCTTCAAGCCTTCTACGTTATTGACAATGGGTCAGTGGATATGGGCATGCATTGCCAAAGCATATGAGCTTCATGCTCTCCCATTGCCCCAGCGAGTGATGGTCCACTCTACCAGAAGCATCGCCATGACGGCTGCATGGGCAACACAGGCCTCCCTAGAGGAGGTCTGTATGGTAGCAACTTGGTCGTCACTGTCACTGTTCATCAGAC